CAGTGATTTTCTTACTCTGTCGGTATTTCAGGTCACGAGGAAATCCCGTATGATGCTTAGTCTATTCAAACACCTCATCTGTGGCGGTGCACAGACGAAGTGTATCGTCTGTGACTATAGAAGTAAACGTTAACTCTCCGTCGGTAATATAATTTTTGATTAATGCGGTTTAATTAAATTAAAATTAAGAATCTTTATCTCTATTTTACAAGATTTCAGAAGCTTAACAAGAAAGAAAAAAATACTTTTTTTTAAAAGTGAATTCTAACACTGATTTTACAATCATTTTTCCCCCATTTTTCTCGTTTTTAAATATCATTGAGAAAATATTCTTAATTATGTTGTTTCATGAATTTTATCAGTTCGACAATTTCTCAAAGTATTTGATAAAGCAAATGCCATTTGGTTGCAATGGTATTCACTCTCATTGTTAGATGCACCTCTGACCTTCTTTATTTGGAGCGTCGGTTCTTTTTCTTTCCATTCTTTTCGTGTTCGTTTACGTCAGTCTGCTGATCGTCATTATGTCTTTCCGATTGATTTCTCTGGCTCTTCTCGTAATTGTCGTAAGATGATAACGACAATTGCTCGAATGCTTGTATTAACCCCTCAGGTGTTTGGAAGCAATGCATTTTTGCCTGATTCCTTAATATTTCATCTGGTATGCCGTCAATGATATTATCGACGAGTTCGCGCTTGTCCTCGACAGGTATACGATTCGCCATAATTATTTTATCGTAGAAATAGTCATCGAAGGATTCATCCCTCTTCCACGTGCGCTCTTCGAACCGTTTTCGTATCATTGTCTTGCTCGATTTATGGGAGAACATGTCTTTCAATTTTTGCATTATTTCTTCCATGTTCATCTCGATAATTTCCGGACTCCATAGCAACCACTTTTTCATCCTTCCCTGCACCCGCATTCCCATAAGGATCTTTGTTTCGTCGTCCGATAAACCGTATATTGTTTGTAGCGCCAATAATTGCTTAGACCAGCACAGCAGATCCTCCGAATTACCTTTGAAATAGTCCAGTAATTCAGCGATCATATCCAAGGTGACTCGCGCCGTAAACTGCCCTGCAGACATTTCTATATCTCGTTTTTTCCGCTCGTACGCCAATTCACGCCTTGTGAGTTGCATTTCGCACTTCAACAACGCTTTTCTTCGTCGCAGTAGCTCCAATTCGTGAAGGTCTTGCGCCTCCTCTTCATCGAGGTTTTGTGTATTCTCATTCAGGATACGTTGTTCGTTAAGCAGGTCTTCTGCCTGCGCCTGTTGATCGATAAACGGGTTCTCTACCTGTACAGCTGGTTCGACAAGCAAGTGATCTTCCTGAATATTGTCGTTCTCTAGCCACTGCTCTTGAACCTGGTCTTGAACCTGGTCTTGAACCTGGTCTTGAACCTGGTCTTGAACCTGGTCTTCTTGATTCTGGGCCAGCGAATTCCTCGACATCTTCTATTCTAACGACAATAGAAACACCTGTGTTGACGTTGAATAACGTTACTGATATTTGTTTGATATTGTCACACGGTGCTGACGAACGAATCTTTCCAATATCATACTGTTACGAACTTTTCGAATCACGTCCAATATAATTCATTATTAAAAATCGTTACTTTTGTAACTCGAAACTATTTTGGGAAAAATATGAAAATCTTTATGAAAACTATGAAGACAAAAAGAAACTATTTGCGGAAACAAATTTCGTTAAAATACCATCTGTTTCCACAATGATATTGCAAAAATAATTTATCAATACTTTTTGAATCTAACCTTGACTTATATCTGATATCGCCTACTAACGTCTTCTCGATTGATATATATTCTCTTTTCCGTCTTTCCTTGCCGTTTATTTTCTAACTGCTACTGTCGCCTTCGATCATTCTGTTCTTATAATATAGCCGATCACCTTTCAACTGTCTTCGCTTCGTTTAAACGGTTTTGCTGTTTTTCTGCCATTTCGCAAGGTGATCGATCGTAATCGCTGTCAAACGACGATAAGTCAATAAACAACAGTCTCACGCCCTATCGCGCCCTCAGTGTTATTACATCGCGCGTCTTGAGCAAATGACACTTTTCTTCTTTTGCACCGGCGAACGAGAAAATGTCCAATAATCTTTAGTATCGTTTGCCAAGACGTCATCATACGGTTCTATCTATTAAAAATTCCTTCCTTCTGCCCTTAGTGGCCATCTACAATCCCCGGAATGCGCGTTAAGATTGAGATCTGCTTTTAATTAACTACTCGTTAGAGCGTCACTACTCTGGCTCCTTACAACAATACTTTATAATTAATACTGATCTGTGAAACTTTTATTATTATTGTTTTCTCGATGAACTAGTCGAAAGGCGACTCCATCTTGGATTTTGATGGAATTTTTCTTAATCACTTTATTATGACAGAAATAAGGGAAATAGAACAGATCTATCATTTCATCATATCGTTTAACCATATTCGTTCTGAAATATCTATTTAAAAATTAAAATTTGCTAATTTCATTTTTGAAAGATTCATTATTCAATCCCGCCTGTGCTTCGTACATAAGGCACTGGAATACCGACCAGGGGAAAAAAATCACTTTTATCACTCTCTGCTTAAGTACAGAGCAAACGAAGTTCAAACGTGTACAATACCACAAACGATATATCTGTGACATACACATAGATGAGTGACCTGTAATATAGATCGCAGACGAGGAATATAAATCTGTGTATGAACGAAGAATGCTTTGTTCCATATACCCGGACACAAACATTATGTTTCTTTATCCTGTATTATCGACTGAGACACTATACATGCATACAGAGGTGCTATCATACTTCATATGTGATACTACTACCATGAACAAGATATATAATAGATTTTAGAATTATATATATATATATATACATATATACATATATATA